CCCCCCCTGGCTTTTCTTTGTATGTAGTTTTTATTATAAGAAGTAGTAGTAGTAGTGGATTAGTAGTAGAGTAGTAGTAATAGTAATGATAATAATAGCAGTTCAACATCTTGTCATAGGCCTACTCAGAATTTATATTTCTTCTTGAGTTCAAGTAGTTCATACCCTTTAGGAATTTCCTTATATCACATAATTTATCTAACATGAAATGCCACTGGGCTGGGGCTGGGGCTGGGGCTCAGCTGTAACATGCTTGCCTGGCATGTATGAAGCACTGGGTTTGGTTCTCAGCACCACATACAAATAAATACAATAAAGGTTTATCAACAATTAAAAAAAGAAAAAGAAATGCCATGATAAAAACAACTTAACTGAATGTTGTTAGAGTTGTTCATGGTATTCTCTTACAATCCTTTTTAATTCTATAAGGTCAGCAGGAATGTCCCTTCTTTCAAGATTTTACCAACTTGAACCTTATTTTCTTGGTCAGTCTGGCTAAAGGTTTGTGAATTTGCTGATCTCCCTGAAGAAATCACCTTTTGGTTTCACTGATTTTCTCTATTGTTTTCACAGTCTTTGACTTATTTTCTCCTAATTTTTATCATTTCACTCCTTCTGTTTGATATGGGCTTAGTTTGCTCTTCTTTTTGTAGGTGTTTTAAAGTAAAATATTGGTTTATTGATTTGGGATCTTTCTTTTTAAAAATTGAGGCAACTATAGATATAAATTTCCCAATAAGCACTTCTTTAACAGCATCCCAAAAGTTTGGGTATTTGCTGTCTTTATTTTCTCTCATCAAAATATTTTATGATTTACTTCTTCTTTGGTATGTTGCTTATTTAGGGGTATGTATGCTGTTTAAGTTGCACATAATTGTGGATATCCCAAATTTCCTTTTGTTATTTATTTCTAATCCTATTATGTTTGGTCAGAGAATGTACTCTTTATGATTTTGGTCTTCTTGCATTTATTGACTTTTTAAAATGGTCTGGTATATGTCCCATCTTAGAGAACATCCCATGTGCACTTGAGAACAATATGTATTCTGCTGTTGTTGTTTACCAAGTTCTATAGATGTCTGTTATGTCTAGGTGGTTTTAGTATTGATCAACTCTTCTCTTTCCTTGTTGACCTTTCTCCTAATTGTACTTAAACATTATTGAAAATGGGATATTATTGTTAAATTATCCATTTCTTTCTCCATTCCTTTCATATATTTTGGGGTTTATGTTGTTAGGTTAGCATACATTTACTATCTTCCTGATTTATGCTTTTATCATTATGAAATGTCTCCTTTTAATGTATAATGGCATTTTTAAA